CGGAATGAGTTGGGGGATAGTTCCTCTCTGTTCTATTGATGAATTTGTCTGATTTTGAGACTGTATGTCTTGAAAGTTCTGTGGAACTCACTAATAAAACTTCTCAGCTGGAAATTTGTTTCTCTTGCCTTAAAAGCTTTTCATATGGAAAATTGCAGAGATATGCAAAGAGAGTTTGTATACAAATATGTACAAATGGACTCTAGTTCATAATTCCAGACAGAATGGTATCCTGAACCCATCTCCAGCTCCAAAGTATCAACTTCTGGTAAAGTTTGCTGTATCTATCTCCCTTCTACTCCTCCACCCACTGGATTCAACATTAGAAATCATAGAATATTGTTGGGAAATATTTTGTGTGTACTTCTTCTTTTGTGTGTGTGTGTGTGTGTGTGTGTACTTCTAAAACATGAGGCCCTACCCCCCAATTACAAAAAATCAAACCTAGAGAAAAGTTGCAAGACTATTAGAGGGAACTCCCATATACATTTCATGCTTATTTACCAATGCGGCACTTGTATTCTAGCTGTACAGATGTAAATACATGCTGGTGGATGCATACATTTTCATTATATATATACACATATATATGTAATTTTTTGATGAATCACATGAAAGTTACATACATCCTAATACTTAATCCTAACTACTTCAGCCTGTAACTCATCAGAACCAGGATTTCCTCCTATATATCCACAGTACTCAATCTCACCAATTTGATATTAATTAAATAATATAATCTACTGTGATGTCTATATTAGCTTCCTACTACTGCTATAACAAACCTCCACTACCAACCACCACCACCACAGCTCAAAAGCGACAGACATTTGTTATCTTACATTTTGGAAGGTCACAAGTCCAATATGGGTTTTACTGGGCTAAAATAAAGATATTGGTGGGCCACATTTCTTTCTGGAGGTTCTAGGGATAGATCTATTTTCTTGCCTTTTCCAGTTTCTTGAGTCTGCTGATTCTCCTTCACTTGTGGTCTCTTGATTTGGGCTGGGGTCATGATGTCAGGGTCCTGAGGTCAAGCCCTGCCCTGGGTGTGCTCCCTGCTCAGTAGGGAGTCTGCTTGAGGATTCTCTCCTTCCCTCTCCCTCTGCCACTCCCCCTTTCCAGGAGTAATCTCTCTCTCAAATATATAAATCTGAAAAAAAAAGAATCTCAAATTGGTACCACTGAAAACTAGAAGAAAGAAAAAGAATGGACTGAAAAAAGTGTCTGAAGAAATAATGATCCAACAAATTGAGTGAACCCCAAACATAAGGATTGCAAGACACATAATAAACTTCTTAAACTAAAGACAAAAGAAAATCTTGAAAAACAGCCAGAGAAACAACCCATTGCATGTTAAGGAACACTGATTCAAGTGACAGTAGGTTTTGTATCTGACAGCATGGAAGCCAGAAAGAAGTGGCCTGTTTTTGAGTGGTGGACAAATCCTGTCACTGGCAAAAAGATCCTCAGGAGTAAAGGAGAAATAAGGAAATTTTCTGATGAAGGAAGAATATGAAAATTTGTTGCCAGCTGACCTGCTACTAAAAAATAGCCAAAGGAAAAGATGTCCAGTTCATTTTTCTCTGTTGTTTATGTTTGGCATCCTATCTAAAAGCTAATGAAATTTACTTGGTTTTGAAGTAAACTCTACCCTCAATGTGGGGCTCAAACTCAAGATCCTGAGATCAAGAGTCACATGCAACACACACAGGGGGAGTCAGATGCCCCAACCAAATTTATTTTTAAAAGATTTTATTTATTTGAGAGAGAGGGTGAGAGAGCAGAAGCTGGGGGAGTAGCAGAGGAAGAGAGAGAAGCAGGCTCCCTGCTGAGCAGGGGGTCAGATGGGGGGCTTGATCCCAGGGGATCTCAATCCCAGTGGGGGCTGGATCCTAACCCTGGGATCATGACCCCACCAAGGCAGACACTTAATGGACTTAGCCACCCAGTGCTCTGCCCCTAACCAAATTTAAAATAAATGAAACCAGAGTATATTCTCTGAAAACAGTAATCAACTAAAAGAAAGACAACAGAAAAATCCCTAAAACATTTAGAAAGTAAGCTACATATATGTAAATAAATGATGGGTCAAAAAGGAAGTCTCTGAGGACAAATTTAAAATATACAGAATTAACTATACTAAAACTAGAATTTAACCATTTGTGGGATGCAGCTTATGCTGTGCTGAGAGGGGAATTTATACTCTGAAATGCTTACATTACAAAAGAGGAAATATCTCAAATCAATAATCTCATGTCCTACCACAAGAACAAGGAAAATAAGAGCAAATTGAACCCAACTGAAAGCATAAAGAAAGAAATCATAAAGAGAAGAGCACCCACGTGGCCCTTATATCAGACACTGAGTGGACAGAATGAACCTGAGCCCTATAGAAGGACAGGGCTGGGTCTGTAGAACCAGAATTGGCTCTGTGGGTGGGATGTAGATGCGAAAGAGGAAGATGGGGTGGCTGTGAGGGCCCTAGTCTTTTCTCTCCTTCTGAGGGGTCACAGGCAGATGCAGGAAGCCTCATATGTTGCCTTCTACCCTGGGAGATCTTAAGGCTCCATTTGCCTTTGGGTGGAACATTTGCTCTGCCGGGAAGGGCAGGCAGAGGGCAAAGGACTCTGACACCAGGCACAGGGCTCATCTAGGAGGAGCTGTGAAAAGAGCCCAGGGTTCTGCTCAGCCCTGCTGCCTGGGGAGCTCAGCTAGGGCTTGGGAAACAGGATACTGTGCTCAGGGGGGCTGGGTGATGGGTGATGGGTGTGTTTCCAAGGTCAGGCACCAAGGGTCAGAAGTTCATCATGAAACATTCCTGCCTTACTGTAGGCAAGGGAGTGAGTGGCCTGACCCTCAGGGGCCAGGAGGTTCCTCAAAGGCTTGAGCAGACTCCCGCCTCCCCATGGACACCCCCTGGGTGCAGCAATCAGCCAAACAGGGTGCTACAATGGATGTGCCAGCAAGTAACATCCACACATGTGATAAGAGTTTAGGATTGAGAGATGAGAGCAGAATCGGGTTGTCCCATGAGAATGCTACTTCTGCCTCACTGCACTCTCTTCTGTAGAACAGAAATGGGCAGCCTCTCCAGCAGTCCCTCATTGCTCCTCCCTGCTCAAGTCCTGGGAGGAGCAGGGCTGAGACGCTGTCCGTGGTGCTGAGGACCCCCAGGCTTTCCCAGGTCTTGGCGCCTTGATCTTCTAGCTGTATCCCCTTTCTTCCATTCTTAACAAGGAGCATTACTGATGAGGAAGAGGTGGAGAGGGCTGCAGGAAGTGTGGACTGGCCCCTGTCTCCATCACTCAGGGCAGTTAGAGTGCTGTGGCCATCACTGCAGGAAGTGACTCCACAGTCAGATGACCAAGCCCACGTGCCCATCAGCAGTTTGTAGTGAAGGATGATGATGAACATGAGTATCCTTAAGGCTTAGCGCTGATTCTGAGGCTCAGGCGGTGGCTCCTGACTCCACCTAGAGTTTGGGGTCTCAGGAGATTCCTGGAAAGGAGGGTTCTAGAGTGAAACTAAGAAGCCACTTCTGCTTTGTGGTTGATCTGGCAACAAATGTTTGTGTCCAGGTGTTGTAATTCTTATAAAACAGGAAGAGGCTTCTGAGTCCCTGTAACCTTCTGAGAACATATCTCAGTGACTTGAGGTTCTAGGCCCACCTGGCTGTTCTATGGGATCCTGGATGTGTGTCAGGTTTCTGCCCCAGGCCCCTCCTCTCTCTTACTACCCTATGTTCCCCTTTGTTCTGCTCTTTCTTTCTTCTTTCTTTCTTTCTTTCTTTCTTTCTTTCTTTTACTTATTTATTTATTCATGAGAAACACACAGAGAGAGGCAGAGACACAGACAGAGGGAGAATCAGGCTCCTCCCAGGGAGCCTGATGTGGGACTCGATCCCTGTACCCGGGGATCATGCCCTAAGCCAAAGGCAGACACTCAACTGCTGAGCCACCCAGGCATCCCTGTTCTGCTCTTTCTTAACCTGAGAGCACAGCAAGGGGCAGGCTGGGGGCAGATCTTTTGCCCTCTATGGCTTCAGAACCAGAACATTCATTGCCCATACTTACCTGCTAGATAGGAACCTCTATCATGGGGCTGGGCAGGGAGTCCTAAACAGAAGAGAATGGGTGTTGGTAGCAGAGAAGGAGGGTAATTTCTCTACAGGAGTGAGCAGATCTGCCTCTTGAACACCCTTCTACAAGCCTATTGACCCATGCCCCTGTCCCAGACCATTCTCCACTGTGCTCCCTGCCTCATTCCTGTTACCCCAGGACCCCTGGCTGATGCTCCCAGTGCCCGCTCTGTCCCTGAGTGGACTCCAGGGTTCACCTTTGGCCAACTCAGGGGAGCAGGGAACACTCAGTGCATGGTGGGGTGTGGTCCTGCCTCTGAAGCAGGTCCACTCCTGGCCAAAATGAGGACTGTCTTGTCCTGGCTAGTCTAGGGAAAACAGGGAGCATGCTGTGCTGCTGAATTGGATGGTGACCCTGCACAGCTTGGACCCCTGTGGAAACAGTGGGAGAGGGGGTGGGCTTACTGGGGATGTGGAACTGTTGGCTGGACCATGGCCTGGGAGCAGAGACAGAAGTTAGTACCCAGGGTTGTGAGGAATCTTGGCCCCACCTTCCCAGTCAGGGACATGTCTTTAGCTCTCAGAGAACCAGGGAAGAATGATCACCTCCCAGGAAGAGACCCACTGGCTATTTTATGGCCCAGTGAGGGCCAGGTGCTGATCTATGATCTAGATTCCACAGGTCAGGGAATATGACCAGTGGAGGTCTCTTGTGCTGAAGCCCAGAGAAAGGGTCAGAGACTCCAGAGAGGATGACTGGCAGAGTGGACACCGTGGGAGGACTTTAGGGATTCCAGTCTCACCCAGACTGAAGAGATACTCACAGGGGGTAGATGCTGGGCACCAGAGGTACCTGAGATCATCCCAGATACTGGCCCTATGAGAGATCATCCTTATTGATGTGGGGTGCAGGGTGAGGTCACATCATTGGTGCTGGAACAGGGGATAAAGAGGATCCTCATTCAGGCAGCAGTTAGAGAATGCCTCTCTCCACCACTGCTGTTAGGAGAGCAAGGGCCTAGAATAGGGGATAAGGAAAGGCCTTTGGAACATGTCTGTCCTGGACCCAGAGATGAAGCCCCACAGGCTGACAGTACCTAGGAGAAAGTGTCCTGAAAAGGTCTGAAGGACTCAGGAAAGTAATCAAGCGTGAAGGTTTGACTGAGTGAAAGGGTCAAGGCTGCAGCTGCAATTGCAGAACACGTGGGGAGGCCTGCGGATGCTGAATGTAGGGCTCCTGTGTGTCCAGACCATTACCCCCTCAGGCCAGAACAAAGTTGGAGGACTCCTAATTCCTTTTTTTTTTTTAAGATTTTATTTATTCATGAGAGACACAGAGGCAGAGACATAGGCAGAGAGAGAAGCAGGCTTCCTGCAGGGACTCAATCCCAGGACCCCAGGATCACAACCTGAGCAGATGACAACCACTGAGCCACCCAGACATCCCTCCAATGATTTTCAATAAGACTGTCATGACTATTCAATGGAGAAAAAAAAATCTATTCAACAAATGGTGTTAGGAACACTGGATATGCATGAAAAGGAATGAAGTAGGACCCGACTTACACCATGTACAGAAATTAACTTAAAATGATCAAACATTTAAACATTAGAGTCCAAACTATAAAAGTCTTAGAAGAAAACATAAAGCAAAACTTATTGAAACTGGATTTCCCAATGATTTGTTAGATATGACACCCAAAGCAAAGACAGCAACAACAAAAAAAATGGATGAATTGGATAACATCAACATGGAAAACTTCTGTGCATGAAAACACAATTAGCAGAGTGATAGCACTAGTTATGGAATGAACAGGATATTGGGATGAAATATACAGTATAGGAAATACAATCAATGTATTTTAATGGGGCTGCACGGTGACAGATGGGAGTTACATTGTGTGGAATATAGTAGAACCTATAGAGTTGTTCAATCACTATGTTGTACACCTGAAACTAATGAACTAATGTCACATTGTCTGTCAATTAACTTCACTAAAAATAATAAATAAGTAAAAGTGAGGCAATGCAAGGATTGGAAAATATTTGCAAATCATATCTGGAATGAGATTAATACCCAGAAAATACAAAGTGCTTCTGCAATTCAACAACAACAAAAAGCAACCTGATCTGAGGACCCTGCTTTCTTCCCCCAACTGCAAGTCTCATTTTATGCTTGGGGCTACCTGGAGGTGAGAACTCCACTCCCCACATTCTAGGCTGGACCCAAGGGGCCATGAGACATCAGAGACTTTGGGGAGGAAGCACCTGCAGATATATAATGGGAGAGTTCAGGGACAGATTTGGGTTTTGGTTGCAAATGGGAAAGAACTTCTAGGCTCTTTTCTGAAAGGCAGTCAGACCTTCACCCCCGTGCTCACTGCAGATGCTCCAGGGATGCACTTACCAGAGACTGTGATAGCCTTGACTGTGGTCTTATTGAGGCAGGTGCCATTGTTATAGAAGGCAGGTTTAGGATCCGCTATCATTTGCAGTGATGTTGGGGATTAAGAGCTCCTGTGTGGATGGCTGGGGCCTCCCATTGATAAGCCAAGAATACTGTGCAGGTGGGTTAGAGGCTGTGCGGCAGGAGACACTGAGGTTTGTCCCTAGATGGTAAGAGGAGTCTGAGGGGGAAATGGTGGGTGTGTCCGGGCCATTTGGAGCAAACAGAATAAAGCCACAGGTGATGTAATCCCAGGGAAGGGGAAGTTCCCTGTCTGTATAAAGACCATAGTGTCCCTCTGCTGGATCCAACCTTGTTTTCAAATGTCCCAATCAGAAGCTCCCTGTGTTCACTGAGCCTGGGTCTGAGACATGAAGCTGTTTCCCCTCCCAGGCTGTTGACCCTCCCTGGGAGGAGCAGCCTACTGCCTCTGAGTCTTGGTTAGTCTGGGCCTGCCCAAGTTTGCTGGAGACAGGAAGCCGTGGCCAGGCTGGAGGTCCAGCTGAGGGTCATGGACGTGGGCCCCAGAAGGATGGATGTGGCTTGGTCTCTGGCTGTGTGGACTTGAGCTGGCAGCCTGGACCAGGTAGGAGTGGAATTCACAGAGCACATTCAGGGTGAATGGGTCACTACGATCAGCACTCACTGGGTTCCGAGTTTCACACTCATAGGGTCCTGTGTCATTCCTTGTGACACCATGTACAGTGAGAGTCCTGTTGTCCAGGGACAGCTCCAGCCTGGGACTGTCCGGGAGGCTCTTACTGTTTACTGGCCACAGGCAGCTTGTGCTCTGAGTCTGAGGTTCACACGTTAACACTACAGAATCCGTTTTCTCCACGGGGCTGGAGTTGTTGCTTGTGATGCTGGGTTTATGTAACTCCGCTGTGCAGACAACAGGGAGAACATTGCCCTGTGTGGAACCTGTGAGTCTTCTGCAGGAATGTTTTTCTTTTTTTTAAGATTTTATGTATTTATTTGAGAGAGAGACACACAGAGAGAGAGAGAGCAAGCAGGGGGAGAAGGAAAAGCAGGCTTCCCACTTAGTGAGGAGTGCCACCCAGGGCTCAAACCCGGGACCATGATGTCATGAGCTGAAAGCAGACTCTTTTTTTTTTTTAAGATTTTATTTACTCATGAGACACACACACACAGAGAGGCAGACACAGGCAGAGAGAGAAGCAGGCTCCATGCAGGGAGCCCGACGCGGGACTTGATCCCGGGTCTCCAGGGTCATGCCCTGGGCTGAAGGTGGCGCTAAACCACTGAGCCACCCAGGCTGCCCTGAAAGCACTCTTAAGCAAGGAAGGCCTCAGGCACCCCTTCCACAGGCAACTTGAATCAGAGTTGGCTTCTCTCAGCTCTCAGCCAAACTTAGTCCTTAAAAGAATAAGACATCTGTGTATCTCAACGCATGAGGATCTGAGCGCTCAGAAAAAGTAAACACCTGCTGTGTGCCTGAAAGCACAGGCCCTCTCAAATGTGGGTTATAGGGCAGCATTTAGTCAGGGAAGACACAGGATAAAGTCACAGGCAGCCCTGGACCTCTCCTGGTTCATCAGAGACATAACAGCCTGCCCTGGAGATGGGGTTCTGAGCAGAAATGACACCCAGGTCCACCAGGAACAAGCCCAGAGGTCAGTTCACTTCTCAGCCCCCCCGCAGTCTGGAGACGTAGCACCCCCTGGCTGTTTGATAACGAGTAACATGAGGCAGTGACCCCTTACATGGCAGAGCCGAGTCCTACCACTAAGCAAAGAGCCAGAGGATGAGCAGGAAGCAGGGGTGGTGAGCGATGAATGATCCATCATCTCTTCAGAGAGGGGTCCTGGGTGCAGGATCCCAGGAGGTCTGGCCACACAGGCTCCCTGCCCTCCAGTGGGAGAGAATCCCCCACCATCCACTCCTTCCCTCCTAAGCAAAAGCAACTGAGTCTGTTACGCGTGGACCCGTGGACCGTGTGCTGGTTTCAGGTGCAGAGTCAGGAGGGGAAGGCAAGTCCCATCCTTTACACCCCAGTGGGAGCCACAGCAACACATCAGGAAACAATCCAATTTCTTTTCTTTTCTTTTAAGATTTTATTTATTTATTCATGAGAGAGAAGGAGGCAGAGACACAGGCAGAGGGAGAAGCAGGCTCCATGCAGGGAGCCCGACGCGGGACTCGATCCCGGGTCTCCAGGATCACACTCTGGGCTGCAGGCGGCGCTAAACCGCTGCGCCACCAGGGCTGCCCAACAATCCAATTTCAAGTCCAGCCCAGGCAGGTGAGGATGAGCCCCCTGGGGTGGGGGGCAGGAGCATTCTCCCTCTGATTGCTGAGGCAGGTCATTCTGGTGTAAACTGGAGTGAGCCTCCATTTGGTCTCACTGCCCAGACCAGCATCCCTCCCACTGATGGAGGAGACGACGGGGCTGGGTCTGCAGAGAGAACCTGGGTGACTGATGTGCTGCTCATCAGTCTGCGTGACCCCGATTCAGTGACTGTTTCTTCCTGCGCCTCAGTCTCTCCTGATTGCATAGGAATAATGGTAGATGATGTCTACTTGCCAGACTTGAGAATTAACCTTTAAACATTCTGAAATACCTGATCTAAATTTTGTCCATAGCAGCTGGTCAATCAAATGGCCTCTGTTCCTGCTCACCCCACAGGAGAGGGCTCCCTGGGCCTGAATCTGGGTAGAGGAGGAGCTGCCAGGATAATCTCACTGCTCTGTTGTTCCCTGGGGAGCTGCCTTTCCTCTGGAGACCCCAAGTCCCCCACAGCAGTTGGCCAATGGACTGGGGACCTGTTAGGTGTGTGTTGTCCATGTTGAGCCTCAGGTGAAGGCCCAGGCTCTGCCACTCCCCTCATGTGGCTCTTGAGACTGAGCCCTGGCTGGTGACCAGCTCGGGCTGCCAGGAATTCCTTGCCCCCAGTCAGCTCTGCTCAGGAGCCCCAACCCCATCCTGGTACAGACTCCTCAGGTCACCAAAATCAGGGGCTCCAAGACAGTGGTCTGGGCAGGGGCTTTCTGGGCTGGAGTCTGGTGAGGATCCCAGGGGCCCCTCAGGTCTGGCCCTGACCTAGTCTTGCAGGGTCTTTTGTCAGATGATCACAGAGTCTGGATTCCAGGAAAGGAATTCGTATCTCAGGAAGTTTGTCTCCAGTGTGTGGGTCCCCCACGAAATGCTTGAATCCCTATATGGGCCATAATGCAGAGAGGGATGGAGGCCCAGTGCAGGCCTGTGAATCCTGTGTGTGTGAAGTAGAATTCCCCCCACCCGACACCAGAGGTGAGAGAGGAATTACTCACAGAATATGCGGAGCTGTCCAGGTACTTGTTCAATTTGAAAATTTCTCTTTGTGATTTGTAGGCTGTAGGATCCTGTGTCTTTCAGGGTGATGTTCTGGAACAGCAAGGATCCACTGGGGTATATTATCTCTCTGCCACTGTGTGCACGCCCCAGGGTAATTACTCGTGTGTCTACTACATATAATACAATTTGATGGACCGGTGCTACAATTTCCCCTCTGAACCAGGTAAGGCCTGCTGTATCCCCAGGCAGATTGAGGACCCGCAGAAGAGCGTCCTTCCCTTCAGCAGCATTGGGAGGCACGGACTCCACAGTGACTTGGGCAGTGGTGGGCGGGTTCCAGGAGATTAAGAGTGAGACTAGGAGGGAAGAAAGGGGACGGATCAGTGTTTGGACCTATGTGTAGGGATGGAGAGCTGGGGCCCTGGAGATGGAGCAGGTTCTATATGTGTGTGAGCCGGCATGTGTGTCTGGGTGTCTGTGTGTGTCTCCTGCTGCTTATGGTCACCAGCATGACCATGTTATTTTAGGCCCTCTGAACTTAATTTCCTGTTTCCAAAGCTCTCCACAAATTGTTTGTGACTCACTGTCAGTGCCTCCAGATACCCACTCACACTCAGGGGGTCCCTGGTAGAGGCCTGCCCTGACTGGCTCCTCTGAGGACCCTCTGTCCTCACGTTCTAACTTTTCCCTGCTCTGTTTCCTACTTGGCGTTGTCATTACCTGACATGACATTCTAGATGTCTCTGCGGGTCTGTCTTCACCCTGGGTGTGGTTTCCGTCAGGTTGCAAAACTGAGTCCCCGGTGAGGCGGCCCTTGGGACCCAGCCCCTCACTCCCCACTTGCAGATCCCGAGGCCGTCCCGCCGCTGAGCCGCCTCCCCCGCCCCGCCCGCCGCCCCGTCCCCTGCGGAGCCCCGTCCCGTCCCCCCCCCACCCCGAGGCCCCAGGCCGCCGCTCCCCCGTCCTCCCGCCCCTCCCAGGGGATCGGCCCCCTCACCTGCCAGCAGGAGCTCCTGCCAGGGGCCGCGCCCTGCTCGGGGCGAGGCCGAGGGGGGCTCCATGGTGCCCGCTGCCCGCTCCGTCCGGCCCGGGTGAGAGCAGCTGCAGCCGCGCAGACGCTCGGGGCCCGCGGTCCCGCCCGACAGCTCCGCGTCCTTCCCCCTCCGCGCGGGGCCGCCTCTGGGGGCGGGGCCGGGTCACGTGGGCCGCGCGGGGGCTCGCCGGCCCCTCCCCCCGACGGAGGTCCCGGGTTCCCTTCCTCTGTCCCGGTGGGGGTCCCCGCAGCTGCTGAGGCCTCCCCGTCTCCAGCTGGGATTTCCCGGCAGACGCGAGCGCGCGCACGGGGCCTGCTTGGCACGAGCACGAGCCCGGGGCGTCGGGTCCGGGGCGCGCCCCGCAGCTCGGGGGCGAGGTGCAGGGTCCGCGCCCCCACAGCCCTCCCTCCCCGCCCTGGGGCTTCCCCCTGCAGAGCGGGAGCCGGGGGCCGCCTCCAGAGCGCCTGTCCCGGGACGTCACCCCCACCGGGCCTGGGGATCACCTGGGGAACGTCATCAAGACTGCGGAGGCCCAGGTGACCCCTGGACAGGCTGCTTTAGCAGATGCGCAGCCAGGCTGAGACCCCGGGACGTGGCGCCGGGGCCGCCTCTGCTCTGCGCCCACGCAGGGAGGGTCCGCAGATCCTGTGGAAAAGCAGATCTGACTCCGCAGGTGTGGTGTGGACCCCGGAGCCTACATCTAACCAGCTCCTAGGGGACGCGGATCCTCCTGGCCCCGGGGAGCAGGCCTTGAAGAGCCGGGCTGAGGGGGACCCGGTTCCCTGAGAGGGTGACCTTTGTCCCGTCCCTCAGTGGCCTGTGCTGTGTCCTGGCCTTGAGTCTGTGGACACCACACACACAGCCCAGGGTCCCCAGATCCAGGGGATCGGTTCCCTTGGTAACAGAGAAGCCCAGCCGGCCCGGGTCTCCCCAGTGACCTCACCTGCTCTGGGGAGGATGGATTTCCTCCTGGCAGCAAGGTCACAGAGAGGACTCTGGGGGTGAGACAGGGGCAGGCTGGGTGATGACTGGTGAGGGGAGTGTCCATCCCTGGGTATCACCAGCTTGACCTCTGCTTCCAGGGGCAGAGACTCAGGACCAGGTGTCTGAGGAGCTCACTTCCCAGGTGTGAATAGGACTTCCTGCGTGTCCTGGGAAGTGAAGAGGTGGTGGGAGGTCAGGTGGCCAGCAGGGGAAGGTTTTGAGGAGACCCTCCCTATCAGGGTCTCTTGGCTGAACTGTGGCTCAACCTTGGCTGGTGCCAGGTAAAAAAGTGGGGCGGCACAGAGACCCCTTAAGGGTCACCCTAGAAGCACCCTAGACAGAGCGACAGGACAGAACAGGTCCCCGAAGGGATCAAAGGGGGCTGTTTGAGAAAGGGATGGAATTGAGGCTCCTTCTCTTTAGCTAAGGCCAGCGGTAGGTTTGGTGTCCTGGGTGTTGTCTGCGTGTCCCTATGTCGCTCCTTGGAGGCGCTGCCGGAGGCTGCACCCGCGATTCTGACCAGGCCCCAAAGGATGTGGGTGGCCCTGAGCCCTGGGCAGAGGTGACGACTGGTCAGCCCGGGGCCTGGTCCCTGTGGGTCCTAGATTGCCTGAGTCCACCCCAGGGCAGGGTGAGCCAGGGGAGAGGACAGGGCACTGTCCAGAAGATTCCTGATTCCACCCAGGGATGTGCTCCCTCAGAGGAGCTCTCTGTCCTCAACAGTTCAAGGAATGAAGGAGTAGGCATCTCTTAAGACTTTGAAATCTTTTTATTTTTATTTTTATTTATTTATGATAGAGGAGAGAGAGAGAGAGAGAGAGAGAGGCAGAGACACAGGCAGAGGGAGAAGCAGGCTCCATGCACCGGGAGCCCGACGTGGGATTCGATCCCGGGTCTCCAGGATCGCGCCCTGGGCCAAAGGCAGGCGCCAAACCGCTGCGCCACCCAGGGATCCCAATATACAGCTCTTATTATGTTGAGCAGCAGCATGCTATACATGATTCTATACTTGTAATTTCTGCATATCTGTGTCTTTGCACAAAGGGTACCCACTGATTAGAAAGGGAAACACTCCGGCACTATTAGTGGGAACATAAAGTGGGCAGCCACTCTGGAAAACAGTATAAAGTTTCCTCAAATGTTAAAAATAGAGGTACTCTGTGATCCAGCAATTGCATTACTAGGTATTTACCTGAGGGATAAAAAAATACTAATTCAAAGGGATACACACACTCTGATGTTTCTAGCAGCATTATTTACAGTAGCCAAACTATGGAAACAGCCCAAACATCCAGCAGTTGATGAATGGATAGAGATGACATGGTATACACAATGGAATACAACTCAGTCACAAAAAGGAATGAAATCTTGTCATTTCCAATGTGGGTGGAGCTAGATTATATCATACAAAGTGAAATAAGTCAATCAGAGAAAGAGAAATACCATAATATTTCACTCCTGTGGAATCTATGAAACAAAAAAAATTAGAGCAGAGGCAAAAAGGAGAGTCAGGCAAACCAAGAAACAAACTCTTCACTACAGAGAATGAACTGATGGTTGTCAGAAGGGAGGTAGGTGGGGGGATGAGTGAAATAGGAGATGGGGATTAAGCAGGGCACTTGCTGTGATGAGCACCGGGTATTGTAAGGAAGGGTTGAATCACTTGATTGTATACATGCAACTACAATTTCACTATGTAAACTAACTGAAATGTATTTTATTCTATTCTTTAAATTTTAAAAATTTATTTTTTGGGGAGGAGAAGTGTAGAGGGAGTCAGAGAGGATATCCAGCTGACTCCCCACTGAGCACCAGAGCCCAAGGCAGAGCTCCATCCCCTGATCTGAGATCATGTCCCAACTTGAAATTGAAGGGCAGACACCCAAACAACCGAGCTACCCAGGTACCCCAACTAATTGGAATTAAAACAAAAACTTTAGAAAATACCCACTGACCAGTTCTTTGTCACTAAAATTGTTACACTGGCATAAGTCCAGACAACTCGTTAGGATGTGCCTCTTGATATGATGCAATATAAAACCCGGGAAACATTCTTGCAGGGAAAAAAAAAACATAAGCTGAATCTATTTAAACTTTGAGATTCATTTACCAATTTATAGTGAGTACAGGGTTTAGAGAAGCAAGTGAAATGACACCATAAGGAAACAAAGTGAGAATGTGGGCATTCTACAAGACAACATTTCTGCTCTGGTCTTTCAAAGAGTGTACATCTTTTTAAAAATTTCAGGGGTAGAGGAGTGTTACAGAGTGAATTGTTCTGCTTCCAGAATTTTCAAAAATGAACACGCGAATGAATCTCGCAGCTATCTCAGGAAATAAAATATGGCTAGCACCCTAGAAGTTCCTGTCCTCTTCCATTTGTAAATGTTTTTTTTTTAAGATTTATTTATTTATTTAAAAGAGCAGGGAAGGGCAGTAGGAAAGAGAAAGGAATCCACAAGGAGACTTCTGACTGAGCTCAGAGTCCCACACAGGGATCCAACCCAGGGCCCTGACTTCATGACCTGAGCTGAAAGCAGAGCTGGATGCTTACCTGACTCAGCCACCCAGGTGCCCCCATTTATACACTTCTGATGTTCAATCACCTTTGCTTTCCTGGGACAAACTGAACTTATTCCTGGTGTATTGTCTTATTCTATGTACTGTTGGATTTGGTTTGAGAATACCTTGTTTAGCATTTTTGCCCCTCTGTTCATGAGGATGACTGGCCTGATAGTTTCCTCTTTTTGTGCTTTTGTTGTTGATCTTATTTCTATTGAAGGTTTATACTAACCTTGGAATGAGTTGAGGGATATTCCGTCTCAGTTCTACGCATGAATTTGTATGATTTTGAGACAATTTGTCTTGAAAGTTCTATGGAACTCACTAATAAAACTTCTCAGCTAGAAATTTGTTTATCTTTCCTTAAAATCTTTTCATATGGAAAATTTCAAAGATGTGCAAAGAGAGTTTGTATACAAACATGTACAAATGGACTCTAGTTCATTATATCAGGGAGAATGGTATCCTGAACCCCCATGTAGCCATCTCCAGCTCCAAAGTGTCAACTCCTGATGAAGCTTACTGTATCCATCTCCCTTCTTCTTCTCCACCCATTGGATCAATATTAGAAATCATAGAATATTGTAGGGAAACACTTTGTGTGTACTTCTAAAACATGAAGCCCCACTGCCCAATTACAAAAAATCAAACCTAGAGAAAAGTTGCAAGACTATTAGAGGGAACTCCCATATACATTTCATGCTTATTTACCAAAGCCGCATGTGTATTCTAGCTCTATAGATATAAATATGTGCATGCACACAAACCTTTTTCATTCAATACATATATGATTTTTGATGGATCACATGACTGTTACACGAATCCTTATAATTCTTTTTTTAAAGAGTTTTATTTATTTATTCATGAGAGACACACACACACAGAGAAAGAGAGAGAGAGAGATGCAGAGACACAGGTAGAGGAAGAAGCAGGCTCCATGCAGGGAGCCCGACACGGGACTCAATCCTGGGACTCCAGGATCACGCCCTGAGCCAAAGGCAGGCTCTAAACCGTTGAGCCACCCAGGGCTTATAAATCCTTTTAATTCATCCTAACTACTTCAGCCCAAATCTCATCAGAACCAGGATTTTCTCCTATATATCCACGGTAGGATACTAGAGCTCCAACAATTTTGATATTAATACAACAATATAATCTACTATGATGTCTATATTAGCCTCCTATTACTGCTGTAACACTCACAAACACAGCAGCTCAAAAGCAACAGACATTTGTTAACTTACATTTTGGGAGGTCAGAAGTCCAATATGGGTTTTACTGGGCTCAAATAAACATATTGGCAGGGCCACTTTCCTGTCTGGAGGTTCTAAGGGTGTATCCGTTTTCTTGCCTTTTCCAGCCTCTGGAGTCTGCTGATTCTCCTTGGCTTGTGGTCTCTTTTTTTGGCTCAGGTCATGAGGTCAGGGTCCTGAGGTTGAGCCCTGCATTGGACTTCCTGCTCAGTGGGGAATCTGCTTGAGGATTCTCTCCCTGTGCCCCATCCTCCTACTCAGGAGCATTTCTCTCTCTCTCTCT